TCATTACCTTTGTAAATTCTCATGATTAATGAGTTCATGATTCATTACCTATTCAGAATTATTCATGAGTGTGACCAGCTCTAAACCTGAGCTCATTAACCCTTTGTAAACTTGGTCAATGATTATGACCAGATCTAGTTCATTATCTTGTAACTTGCACAGTCTATCCAAAACTTGGGAGGGTCCAGTCCGGACCATTAGGTACCCTTCTGTAAATCTTTTGACTACCCCCACAGGATGGGTATGGGGTGCATAATAACCTATTAAACTAAACCCTAGGCCCAGGCTCAAGGAACTCAGTGTTCATATCACCATTTAGGAAGACCCTATCCATATGCTTTTAAACATCCAATGGAGAGGGAGGATGGACACAGGAGTCATCCCACAGCTGCCGCTGCCACAGCGACAGCGGCAAGAAACCTGGGCTCGTCTATTTCAGTCCAACTGAGGTCCCAATAACCCGAATGGGTCTAGTAAAGACCCCACATAACACCAAATATGTGGAGATCCAGAATAATATAGATACAACTGCAGAAATCACCCAAAAATACGGCAAAGTTACAACAAATAAAGACTTGTGTTTTCCACCACCTGCCCCACTCCAGACAAAGGGAAAATCCACGATATCACTCATGTCTGCAGATCATCTAAAACACTGTCCAATGCAGGGGTCAGGGCAACAAAAGAAACCCCATTAACCAGCAAAGACTTTCCAACACCACCTAAGAGAGAAGCATACCATAAAAACCTACTACCAGCCGCGACACAACCCTCAATACCCCACCGCCAACCACTTTGCAACACTCACCAAACAACAACAAACATGACTGCCTCCCCTACTGCCCAAGCGAACTCTGTCCTTGTATTGGGATGAAATGAACATTAAGGACCCAGAAATAGCAAAACTTTCTTAAGATCCAGAATCAAACAATAATCATGCTAACCCGGAAATGCAGGAACTTAAACCTCCAATGACATGGTTAACCCAAGAAGTTAAGGAATTACAAACCTCTAACACATAGTACCATCGACAAGATCACAAGAAACTGTTGAGCATAACCTAAACACAATAGAAAAAGCAGCACCCAACCAGTCTGTGGATACCATCATAGTCTAAAAGATCAGGTAACCTCTAATTTCACAAGAGCACATTGCATAGTAAGCAACAACTATGTGAGTTCAGTTGTAGTAAACAGCAAACCTTCTACCTACAAAGTGTAACCCAAGAAACATTAAACAAACCACCTTACAACTTATACAGGATCATCTTCAACTCAGAATACCTAGTGATTGGAGATAAAGCAATGTAAAGTGGATAGGTCATTCAAAACAGGGAAGAAAGTCAGTGGTACTAAAATCACCTCTAGCTCACAACCAAGTGAATTGTAATAAAATCTATTAATATGAAAACAAGTTGTTTTTTTTATGTCCAACGAAATGCCTGAAAAAAATAAACACAAAATCTCCTTTAAGACCTAAGAAAGCTACGATACGACCATAAAATATACCAGTTCTCTGTATGGGCTGGCAAAATTGCAGTCAAGAAGGAATCAACAGGAAAGAGATACTTCAATTCTACTGCACATGATTTAAAAAAGTTCCTAAGTGAAGCTGGCCTAACTGAGTCAGAATGAAAACACAGTTTGTACCCACTTCCACAAGCAGTGTTATGAGACCCTAAAAAACAATTTTTCTTCCGATTTTTTCTGTAAAACCTAATTCTCATTTCCATATTGTCAATCTGACAACAGTGATTCTAAGCTGTCCAATCACTATCTCATATTTTATATTCTTGTTAAACACCTCAAGATCACCACCTTGTTTGCCTAAGTTAATTCCTTTATTTTTTATTCTCTAGTGTGTGCAATCTATAATAATTAGTGCAATACAATCCTAAGCTAAGACCAACTGTTTTGAAACCCACCTTTTTTTTTTTGTTAACTAAGTGATAAACATTTCTCTTTTTAATACAGTTGTAACTACCTTTTGCAATCCTCCATTAGTTAACTCCTACATTTTTTTTTTTTTTTTTTTTTTTTTGCTCTAGTGTGTGCAGTCTATAATAGCTGGTGTAATACGAAAGCCCCTTTTTTTTGTTTGCTTTCTAGCAATAGTGCAAACTCTGTTAGGTGCCACTGATATACCTCATCTTAATAGTTCATTATTTTTCTATTACTAATCATACAATTTGTTTATGGTGTTATTGCTTGCCTAAATTTTGTACTGTAAGTCAAATCTTACTATTTAAATTTTATTCAAGACCTTTTTTCACCATCTTTCAACTTTATATTTTTGTATTATTACTTGTTAAGAATCTGTGCTTGTATAAGCTCTAATATCACCTCCAGTGCAATATTAATAGTTATTTTTATACTACTTATATATTGTTAAACTTGCATTAGTCATATGATTGCAAACATCAGTCCTGACATTAACCTTTTATTAACCCTTTGACTGTCACAAACCCATTTCTGAAACTGTCATTCTATGTTACAAAATATTCGAAAAAAAACATTTCCTACCAAAATGTTAGGATTATTTTACTGAGTGTTTTAAGCCTAAAAATGTTTTTTTTTTACCATCAGTACTTACGGAGATACAGAGGCGCAAAGTTGGCAGAAAATGAGCTGTGTGAAAATTTGTGTGGACTGCCTCCACGAGCTTGTCTCCCATAAAGCAATTCAAAAGGGGAATAACCAAGGGAATCACTTGGAATCTCGCGCATTGCGAAAAGGGCACATGGTAAAAATCTATGCCAGTCCGTTGGTTTAAGAATACATAGTTTTTTTAGTATTGACTTTAGGATGGCATGTTGTCGCTCCACTCTTCCGTTACACATCGGATGGTAAGGTGTAGTGAAAAGAGGTTTAACACCCACAAGTTGATAAACGTGTTCCATTAATTCTGAAGTGAATTGAGCCCCTTTATCCGACAGAATTTCACGAGGTATACCTACACGTGAAAAAATAGAAAATAAGGCTTCTGCGACTTCTATGGACGTAATGGATTTTAAGGGTACCGCCTCTGGGAAGCTGGACGCGTAGTCAATCATAGTTAAAATATATTTATGACCTGATGAGCGAGGTGTGATAGGACCAACTATATCTACTGCAACCCTTGCAAAAGGGACTGAGAAAATAGGCATCTTTACCATAGGAACTCTCCTAGTTCTACCCTTCTGCGTGGAAAGTTGACATACGTGACATGATCTGCAGTACTTATAGATGTCAGAGGACATGCTAGGCCAGAAATATAGGTCCTTGATTTTATTATAGGTCTTCCTATGTGAAAAATGGCCAGAGACTGGCAAGTCATGAGAAATCTTTAAAATAGTTTCACGGCAATCCTGCGGAATGACTAACAGGCTTCGACCAACGTCATTGGGCTTGTCCGCAGACACTATAGTCTTGTACAAAAGATCGTGTTTGAACTCAAACTTGTAAGAAAATTTCTTTCTCTGGGTCACCTTGCCATTTAAAGCTAACTTCCGAGATTCCTCTAAGGAAGGACAAGTCTTTTGAAGACCCTCTAAATCTATATGAGACAGCTCGATTGGCTTTCCTTTGGAAAGAACTAATGGGTGGATAGGTTTTACCTTAGACTGAGCTCTGGTAAGGACGTTAATCGAGTCTAGTTGTTGTATAGATTGTGCCACACGTAGTTTTCCACTGGTGTCTGCGTTGTCCAGGTCAAGTGACTGACTTACTAAAGGTGTTACCGGAGTTTTGTAACCATCAGCTCTCTGATTTAGGTTATCCAACTGAATCTCATCTGGAACTATCTGTGAAGAAACAGAGATATTAGGTTCCAACCCTTCCTTGGAAACTCCAAATTCCAAACAGTCCTTCTCAGATGGGAAAGCAGCCCCTTGTATGTTCCCAACCAAAACAGAACACGAGGTTATCGGGGCAACTACGGCATCTACCCATCCTGAGAACCATTTGCACCTAACAAAACATCTGACTGTTGGAAAAGAATCGCTTCTTCCTAAATAGTCAGTTAACTTAGTGGACTTATAACGTGAAGAATCTAGGTTAGGGAAGAGCTTACTTGAGATAACAATACAGGAACATCCAGTGTCTCTAAGAATGGTTGACACATTCATGCCATTGACTGTACCTTCACTAAAAGGTGCGTTTATGTTTGATTCAGTGAAACATTTACCGACATTTTCACCTTTTTTTTTTAGGACAGTCGGGCCTTCTATGACCCCACTCATTACAGTTGAAACACTTTACTGTGAAGGCCGTGGAATTCTTAGGTACGGAGGGTTTGGATCCCTCAGATTGCTTAGGCACAACAGGCTTATATCTGCTACGCTCTTTAGGGTAGTTATTATGAGCGCACGCATATATATCAGCAGCTTGTGCCATTTCTGCAGCCGTATGAAAATTTCGTTCTTTAATGAATATTCGTAAGTCAGAGTTTACAGAAGAAAGGAATTGATCTCTTACCATCAGGTCTCGTAAAGATTCGAAATCGTGGTCAACCTCAGCACTTCACCTCCACTCTTCTCCTAATCAGCTCTGTTCCTGGCGTGGTCTTCCAGGATAGACGCCAGATAAAGGGGCAAGACGTGTGTTAATAATACTTATTAACATTATTCTACTACTACCGGCCCTTACCTATTCTACTTGTGCTCCATCCAAGTGGTAGGAGATTCCAGAACATCGGATTACCATCTGCCCAGGATAACGTACATAAATAACATCAGAGGAACTATCCAGGGCCATACCTACTCCTGCCCAACTAAAAGAACTGAAGGCCATTTTTTTTTATTTATTTAAATTTTAAGTAAAATTCTCAAAAATCATTTTTCTCATTTTTTCCTAAGTTATTTCTTTATTTATTTATTTTTCTATTAATTTCTTTTGTTCAGTTGGAAGGCGTTCCACTGACAATGGCGACCTCCACTCTTACCATCAGGTCTCGTAAAGATTCGAAATCGTGGTCAACTTCAGCACTATCAATCCACGAATCAAATAATCTGAAAAGTGTTGTTAAGAATTGCATGTAATTTTGATGAGGAGTTTTTTAATGTGTCTAAACTCCGACCTGTAATGATGAGTAGTTTTTTTGAAAGCCTGTAGTATAGCTTTCTTCAGCAGGCTATAACTAGAAATAACATCAGAGGGTAGAGTGGAATAGACGTTTAATGCTGAACCTGACAGTAGTAAGCCAAGCCTAGTAGCCCAAGAATCTACTGGCCAGTCACAGAGAGTAGCAGTACTCTCGAATCTAGTAATATATGCCGCTATGTCATCTTGTTCTGAGAAAGGTGGTATTTGAGGCATCCTAATATTAGGTTCTTGGGAAGGGTATTCCAGTACCCCTTCATCTATTTTCTGCTTAGATAGTTCTACCTTCTTGGCTTCTAATTCCAACCTTGATTGTTCTAACTCAATTTCCTTCATTTTGAAGGCTACCTCTCTTGCCTGAACTCTATCTTCTCTAGCTATCCTTTCCTGTTCGATTTTATCCTCCCGAGCTAGTCTTTCCTGTTCCTTTTTCTCTTCTCGAGCTAGTCTTTCCTGTTCCTTTTTCTCTTCCCGAGCTAGTCTTTTCTCCTCTCGAGCTAGTCTTTCCTGTTCCTTTTTCTCTTCAATAGCCATTTTAGCAGTAATGTAACTATCAAGGCTTTGTCCAGTAAATCCCATTTCCTTTCCAGCTTTCAACCAGAAATCTAAAGAATCCATCTTGTAAAAAGAAATATTAAGCACCCAACTTCAACTGACAATTAAAATTAACAGTAACGTCTGTTACTAAAGAGGGACACAGTCCGCACACTTTAAACTTCCCAAAGTAGAAAATGAAATAAATATTTCTCCCTGGAAGAATACACTTGTGAGCTCAATAGCCTTCACTAAGCAAAATACACACGGTTCACACAGGAGGGGTTATTATCAAAGTTCCCCAGGTCCAACAAATAGGTAAACTTCTAAACCGAACCTTAGAACCAAACAACGGTAAGTCAACCAGACTACCAGTAATGACTTGACACCTCAACTAACTCACCCTTTTCTATCTTAAATGTTATACTCACAACCAGTTGAACCATCAGGACGATGTTGCTTCAAGAGTCGGATCCTGGCAAGGTCGCCATTGTCAGTGGAACGCCTTCCAACTGAACAAAAGAAATTAATGGAAAAATAAATAAATAAAGAAATAACTTAGGAAAAAATGAGAAAAATGATTTTTGAGAATTTTACTTAAAATTTAAATAAATAAAAAAAAATGGCCTTCAGTTCTTTTAGTTGGGCAGGAGTAGGTATGGCCCTGGATAGTTCCTCTGATGTTATTTATGTAGGTTATCCTGGGCAGATGGTAATCCGATGTTCTGGAATCTCCTACCACTTGGATGGAGCACAAGTAGAATAGGTAAGGGCCGGTAGTAGTAGAATAATGTTAATAAGTATTATTAACACACGTCTTGCCCCTTTATCTGGCGTCTATCCTGGAAGACCACGCCAGGAACAGAGCTGGTAATAAGAAAAAAATAAACTGGTTACCCATAGTCATGATAATATAACATTTAAGAAAGAAAAAGAATGATAAATGCCAAAATCATTACTGGTAACCAGCAAACACTAGAAAAGAACAAACAGTAATACTCCTGGTAGATCACCCTACCTGATTAGGAGAAGAGTGGAGGTGAAGTGACTCTCCAAACTTCAATCCACACCAGGTAAGGTCAATATTACCAGGAGTAGAAACTTCAACAAATCGGACACCAGGAACTAGTTTTGCCCCAGCCCGCCAGAGGGGGGGGTGTGCGCGCGCGCAACGTAACTCGCTAATGGTTCCTGGTTGCCCGAACAACCTTAACCCCACTTACACCTACTTTTCCCTCACACTCATCATGCAAATCTCTGAAACTATTTGTCAAGCTCATAATCTCAATACGGAACTTCTCTAGGCTTTGACGGTCATGTCGGCAAGCCTCTAGATCCAACAACCGATAAAGTATAGCTACCTTTATCTCCTCAGTGTTGCCAAACATGTCTTCTAATTGGTCTTTGGCATGTTGGTAATTAGTGTCAGTAATCTGGTAGTGCCGGACCAGGTCTAAGGCTTTACCCTTGAGCTGCGACCGCAAATACTGCAACTTGACGGCATCTGACAAATCGTTCCTGTCATCTATCTGGGCTCTAAACTGATCCCAGAAAGCAATGTACTCTGTTAAGGTTCCGTCGAACGTTGGTAAATTCAACTGGGGCAACTTGGGCAACATATTGACAGGTGTGTGGTTGTTTGGGGTACCTGTGGTGTTCAACCCCACCCTTGGAATACTAGCCTTTAATGTACTTAACTTATCTTTGTACATATTCATCTCCTGATGACAATCTACATCATCCTTATTGAATTCGTCAATAGCCTGCTGAAGACTTCCCTGGGATTCATCATCCTCAATAGCCCGTAGCTCATATGCTGAGAATGCTTGTTCATAGGCTTCCCATTTTCCCCCAAACTCTTCAAGCAGTCTTGCAAATCATCGCAGTCTACATTACTGCGTTGGCAAGTAGCCTTGCACCTGTTACGCATTCTGTTCAGATGCCCTTTGTATGCTGCTACTGATCGTCTTAATTTTGTTAACACTGAACCAGACTCTCCTGAACCCCCATCTGCCATTGTCGAAGTTTAATGAGGAGTGTGACACTAATTGTACTTTACCCAGTCCACCCCACAGCACGTCATGGTGTTAGGCAAGAATGAACGAGTCTTAAGGCTTCTCAACAAGCTTAACAATTCCCTTTGTTATACTGACTCTACTATGAATCAAAAATGTACACTGTTAGCTCTCAAATCCCAATCAAAAATGTGTATCAATGTGAAAGCTTAACCTAGCACTTAACTGTACAATGCCAGCAAATAATTACAGGACTTAACCTAGTCTCAGGTATAATTCACAAATCCCACATTAACATGAATCAAAGACATTGAAAATCACACAATAAAAGGGTGCAGTATACAAATTAAAATCACTTGGTTAACACAAGTAAATTCAACAATTCAACTTGTGAAACAGTAAATAAATAATGTATGTAAACAGCTTGGCCTGTGCCCAGCTTACTCTGTCTAGCATGGATGGTTGGATAAGGTAAATCCTAACCTAGCTAGTGTGCTATAACTTAAACCTGGCTTTATAACTCCCTGTAAATAATAACTAGGTTAAATCTGTCCTAGCTACTATAACTTTTGTAAAAATTTGCACAAGCCTAGCCTAACTGTGGCTACCTTGCAAATCCACTGTAAGTAATCAACACACAAGTCTCCTACTCTGGATTACTTGTAATCACTGTAAATAATTAAATTCACAAGCTTCTCTAGCCTACCTGGCCTGCCTGTAAATTACTGCAAATAACAACTTCTGTGTATAGTCAGCTTGGCCTAGCCTCTGTGTAACTTTGACCTAGGTGTGCTAACTTAACCTAACTTTTTAAAACTGGTTCCTAACTGTGGCCTAGGTATGATAGCTTAACCTAACTCTGTTAAACTGGTTCCTAACTGTGGCCTAGGTATGATAGCTTAACCTAACTCTGTTAAACTGGTTCCTAACTGTGGCCTAGCTATGATAGCTTAACCTAACTCTGTTAAACTGGTTCCTAACTGTGGCCTAGCTATGATAGCTTAACCTAGCTATTCCAAATCCGGTTCGAAGGACCACTTTTGTGAAAATTTGTGTGGACTGCCTCCAAGTGAGTCGCCTACCCTGGCAAACTCTGTTGACACCGAGCTCTGAGGTGGGTACCTCAGCCTCACAAGTGGCTTATAGGACAGATTTTCACAAATGATTGGTATTGCAAGAAACCTCGCCTGCATGCACATATAAAGGACTAACTTACTTGGTGTTGCAGTATATCCTGATCTTCACTTCCCTAAGCTAGCCTTAGCCCCTTTGGACTCCCTCTCAGAAACCACGTGTAACCGGGAGCATTAATTCCTGCAATATTCAATCGTAATTAGTGTCCTGCCTGCACCTCAGAAATTCCTATATCCAAGAGGGTATGTATCTCCTAGTATAACTATGCAGACTCAGACACTAGCTTCAGACGGCTCTGAGACACTGGTACTTACTGGGCATGCTCTCTCTGTAGCACGCCGGGCCCACAGCTAAAACTCAACCCACAATCTCCCAAGACACTGGCCAGAATCTACGAGGAAAAAGGTGGAGGTTTTGTCTTACTGTATCAATCCCAAGGTACTAAGGAAATCATCTAGTGACTGTAGAGTCACTGAATTTTCTAAACGCACCACTATACCTCTAAGATTTGTCAGGTAACTGATGTTCTCTTTCCTCTCCTAGAAGAATAGATGTAGTAGGTAGAAGGACTAGCATAGTAGTCTTAAGCTGGTTAACAATGTACACATGATTAAATTTCTTTTTTCAAAGACGTACGTACAAATAATTTAACGTCGCAAAGCCTTTTCAACTACTTCCATGGACCATTCATACCTGGCTTGTAGACATACCCTGGTACTAATTTCCAGCCGTCACCTCATCTCCTGCTTTAAAAGAGCGAGAGACAGCAAACACTTGTCATATAATGTTGCTTCATTCTAGCTTGGGCTGATACAGTTTTTTCAAGCTAGCTCTCTAGTGGCTGTCAAATGTTTGCTGCATTAATGAAGGTGAAGGTAACTCATGATGGATTTGATTTTCTGTCCACGACTTCTTTTAACACTGCGAGAGGACCACGCACTTGGTGTGCCAAATGTTAATTCAAATGACTAAACCCAAAACTATCTTGCTCACTTTTCTCTCATAGCGAACAGAAGAAGCTATAACGCCTCATCCCAGTCTCTAGAAAAATGTTCACAATAAGCCTCGATCAAAACTTCATGTCTGATGAAATCCTCTAGAGCACCTTGTGACTGTGGATGATAAGTGGTTGAAAGCACAGACTTTTACTCCTATGTTTGTTAAATGCTTCCCGGAAGACTTAGAAGTGAAATAGATCTTCCTTGAATCTGATGCTATCGCTCGTTACAAGCCAACCTGGGAGAAAATTTCAACAGCGCTCTCGAACAATAACACGATCATTAATTATTTCTCATAGGAATAGCTTAAGATAGCGTTTGCAAGCGCCTAAATAAATAAATTATTGGTTCCCTAGTTTGGTTCTAGGCAAAGGACCAACACAATCAATAAAGATGTGAATGGTTCACCATCGACGGTGATAGGAATGAGAGGCGCAGGTGGAGGTGTTTGCTGGTTTGCCTGTCACTTGACACACGGTGGCAACATCAGCACATGATCACTACTGTTTCCTCATCTTTGCCAGAAAATGTTTTGCTAGTTTACCGAGTGTCTTCTTGACACCCAAATGTCCTCCAAAGGGACTATGGTGAGCAAAATTCAATGGCTTAGTTCACGAAATGTAACTGGTACACTACAGCGATGCTTGACTGTGGGTGGAACACTATCAGCTGACAACCTAACATTTTTTTTCTCCATCAGTACAACCATTACGGGGTCGTCCCTCAGTTACTAAAAAACAACAGACAATAAGCCCCAATCCACAAAGGGGGCCAGTAAAAGCAACAGCAAAGAACACAGAACAATAGCACTAACATCCATATCAAAAAAATCTTGAAGGGTCCTAAGAAGCAAGATTCACCACCCACTAGAAACCCCATCAGTTACACAACCCAGGCAACATGTTTAGAAACAGGTCCGCTCCTGTCTGCCTCACTACTGATCACTACGACACAGGTCCTAAAATGCACTATAAGACAAAAAGAATGCAGATGTAATATATACAGACTTTGCAAAAGCCTTCGACAATGTGACCATGCGTAATACCACAAAAATGCGCGCTAAAGGAATAACAGAAAAGTCGTCGAATGGATCTATTAATTCTCACTAACAGAACACAGAGAGTAGTCGTCAAACAGAGTAAAGTCCGAGGCAGCTACGGTAAAAGCTCTGTTCCACCAAGCCAGTACTACTCCCATCTTGTTCCTCATCCTCAATCAGACATAGACAAGGATGTCAGCCACAGCACCGTGTCTTCCTTTGCAGATGACAGCGAATCCTGCATGACAGTGTCTTCCATTGCAGACACTGCAAGCTCCAGGCGGACATCAACAAATCTTCAGTGGGCTGCAGAAAACATATGAAGTTCAACGATGAGAATTTTCATTTACTCAATAGGTAAACATGAGAAATTTAAAATCTTCATCAGAGTACAAAACAAATTCTGCCAGAAGGAGGGGGTGCAAAATAGAGCGCAACACAAAGTCAAAGAACCTGGGAGTGATTATTCGGAGGATTCTCACCTTCAAGACCTAACATTGTATCAATCGCATCTGGCTAAAAAAATGACAGGCTGGATAATAGAACCTTCAAAACTAGGGAGGCCAAGCCCATGATGACACTCTTCAGGTCACTTGTTTCGATCTAGGCTGGAATATTGCTGCACTCTAACAGCACCCTTTCAAGGCAGGTGAAATTGCCAACCTAGAAAATGTACAGAAA